CCGTGGTTTCACATCAATATAGACTTTGTCTGCACAAAAACACTGCTGTGAATTTTGCATATCACATGACCAGTGACCATGAGTCTTTGAACGAATATGACCAGTACACCATAGATCTCACAAGTAGCAGTTCTGTGCAGAACGCAATAAATCACTCAGTCAATGGAGAAAATCGCCTTAATTTATTCTAGAGACCTCCTAATACTACGAAAACTGCGTATTACTTATACATGAGACTAGTAGTTTGAACAAAGTTTTTTTTTAAATTACGGCATAAGCGGGCCGTAATGAGCATAAGAACTACAGCCATCGTTTGTACTAGTTATAAAATGAAGTATAAATTATGTTATCAACCTTACTATCTGAGTAGGTGGTGATTTTCTACCTTAATTTGCTGTACGGTACGAAATTCTGATCTACTTGTCTAGCAGACAAATAACAATTTTCCCGGAGGCTATTAGAAACATGAAATAAAGGCGATGGTAAATTAAATGTAGAGACAAATCTTGAATGGCGCATCATTGTTTGTTTCTTAGTACAACATTCGTAACGAAGAATACCATTACGTCGTTCAGCTCTTCTATGAGCGACTTAAAGTGGATGCCATTCAGACAAGGACAGAATGATGCTTAAGGCTAAAGTTGAGATTAATTCACATGATGAGGTTGATGACGTCACTGACAGGTCAAAAAATGACAATTTGTGCTTGAAATTTGGCATTTCTGGTAGCCAGGTTGTTCATGAACATTCAAGGGCATCTTCGGTGAGGTGGAGTTCCATGCTTTAACAGTTCCTTGACCTTCAATGCTCGATCTCATTGGCACCACTTTTAGGAAATACCTCAGTCATTCACACAGTGCAGCATGCCTTCTCTCAAGGTAGTCTTCTACATGTTGAGGTAATGTCATATTTCGTGTGTGGAAAATTAACACAAAGTAGTGAGCTCAGTGTCGAGGAGCTTCAATTCTCTCTTCAAAGATCGATTGAAACTTTTGATGCGTTATTTCGTAAACAGCGCTTGTTTTAATAACC